TCCAAGAAAAATGTTATAATGTTCAAGATAATGTCAAATGCTTTTATATCTTTGTTTATATTAAGTTTGCAGAAACATCAAAGTGGTAATATTTAATGTCTTTTACTTCTTTGTTTTAGGTACCAATTGCTTATTTAACGATCCAAGAACAGTATGTGTATTTAATTCTAATCGTTATTCTGAAATATTCAATCAATGAGATATGTGATTGTGTTGTGTTACATCATTGAAATGTTTTTAGCAACAAGTGCGTAGTAGTCCGGTCACGCAGGCCTCAGGAAAGTGTATCGACAGCATCACAACACGAGCGAGTGAGAGTTAGTGTAGCCATAATAGTTCATTCCCCGCTCCGCTGTGGCGGTCTGCGCTTGCGACGGTGCATAATTTGTAATTTTTTCCTGCAATAGAATTACGTGTAACTTTCGAAGCCATAATGAACAAATAGATAAATATTTCCTTTGCTAAAACAACTCGTAATTATCTATTTTTAAAGTCTTAATATAAAGCATTATACTAAGTTTTATTCAAATTTTTAGGGTTCCGTATCTCATAGGAAAAAACAGAACCCTTATAGGATTACTTTGTTATTAATTAATATACTCTAATCATCATATTCTGTAGCCTTTTTGCCGACGAGGATCGGCATACATTATTCTGCCATATACTTATCTCTATCAACCGTCATATCTGAATTCACCTTCTCATCTATCTGTACTTAGTTAATATCGTGTAGTTTTGAAATTTCTTTCTTGCAATCCCTGTAATTCAATTCATGCGTAGAAGGAATTGCCACATTGGTGTAGAAGACTAAAGCAATATTTCTTTTACCTTAACTGTTAGTCGGGACATTTGGTAAGAAAGAAGCCACCGACTCCGTTACCTGTCCCGTATCGCCTTTTTCAATGAGTCGCTTCTGATTCGACACGACGCATACTCTATTTGCTGTCACAATAGGATATGTTACGGGGTCATATTCATAGTTAAATATTACTGTTTAATGTATTTGTGTCAGGAGTTCCGAAAACCTTTTAAAACAAAGTTTAAAGTAAGTTGGTGTTATAAAGACAAGGAATATTATTAAAAGAAATTGCATATATAAAAGTAAAAGTAGCTGCATACAAGCATATTGAAGATGCAATAAATCGGAATTGGTAATGCGTTGCGATGAGCGCATCAATCATTAACTCTGTCACCTACTAATTAAAACTGTTGACTAATTGTCACGCACCCATATAAGTGACATCAAAGCAAAATATACGAAGCGTTGGCTTATTATTTTTTTCGCTGTTGACCATTTTTCAATAATAATATTTTTAAATCTATTGTAACTTGTAAGACAAGTTTACATTCGTCACAAGGAAGTATCTTAAATAACTGGATCATTTAACAGTATTTCCATGTGTTTCAGTACTGAAAACTTCTTTTTACACAATTTTCGACATTGGAAACGTACTCTAAGATGTTCGTTATTGGAATAGTGACTGTATCATTTTTGTATAGGAAAGTAAACGCGTACAATGGTCATGGTTAGCAGTCGTCGCACGTCGCGTTGACGTCGCGTCACCGTTACCGACATTTTGTAATGACTACTAAGGGAACGAAGCCCTAGACGACCGGTGTCAATGTCCTGTTTATAATACAGAACATTTCATTAGTATTTTTAAATGTCATCAACTTTGAAAATTTTATATTAGGTCGACTACTACTTTACGGGCCAAGCTACGCTGTCTAGTCTGTGTCCAGACATGTCTTCTGTAAAGAATAGCTAAAATTAAGAAGCCGACATAGTTGAATTTAGATATGTGTATTTTTTTTCGTGTTACTGTATATTGCGCCGGTAAAACATCACAGTGAGATCCAATTTACACTGTGTGTAATAAAATACATTTTATTATAAGTGTTAAATGCTTATTCCATCCGTATGTTTAGTTAGTTGAAGCTACAGTTATAATGAATGAGAAATTTGAACGTTATACCTCATCTAATATAGCTATTGTGATTTGAAAGTATTCAGTAAAGTTCAAGACGAAATAGTACTTTATGCATTATTCGCTTTGAGTGTCGGCCTTGGGGTTTGCTATAAATCATAGTGAATTCTTTTAAAAGTTTTCGCTTAACAAAAAGCTTCATTTATAATAAAAAAAAACATTAGTTTATTAATCTATATTTTATATAAAAACAGTAGATAACGTGTTACATGTTTATAAAGAACTCATATACTTTTATTCATGGAACACTTTCTATGACATTTTTATATTACCAGTTACATAGTAGTCTCATAAAAATGTAGTGTTCAAGTTTTCACTTTTACTATGACTAGTACATATCTATATATACTCGTATGTATACGACTATAACATGACATATATTCTCATATAAAGCTATGAATGAAGCAATTTAATTTTCTAAGAGTGAAATTACAAAATAAACAATAAAATTTACACGAATATAATGCAAATACGGTAAAATATGGAAAAAATGTCTTATTAATCGATTCATATTATGCACACTTGCGCACGCGCACAAAAAATCAAAACAAAACAGTACATTATGTAATTGCAATCAAGTAAGTTGTAAAAGGTGTCATTGGTTCATAAGATGCATCGACAATGACACAATTTGTTGACCGCGATCCGATTATGGTTAATGAGCAAGTGTCAAGATTACGATGTGGTCAAGTCGGCTGCCGTACGGAACTAAAGGTACCTTTAGCGGTGATATAGTGCATATGTAATAGTACTCATCTCAGATTGCAATACACATTCTTTGAAACCTTGACCTAATGCCAGTGTATCCGTTTATCAGATATCCGAGTAACGAACAAGTTCTCATTTACTTTAAAACGTTTGAAATAGTTTCGTAATTTAATCATTTAATGTCTAAAAGCTTTTTATACACACGCCGTCTAAGTGATGGAATTATAACGCTCTTGTTAATATCAAATATATACCAGTCATCGCCTTATTTCAACTGCCATGGGTCCGTTTGGCCAGGTGCCCAATTCAGAACAAGCTAGAAATATATTTGATGATTAATAAAACAACTAATTAAAGGGACTAATTTAATCGAAAGTAGGTTAATATACCTTTGTTCTAGTTATAAAATCAACAATATTTTGTCGTGCATAACTTTAGAAAGGCTATTGTTGTATTTCGCCGGTTTATGTGTGAAATAAAGTGTTTAATCACTGGGTCGAACACATCATTTCACAAGAAGTGACTCTACACTCGGTCATCATGGCTGAATTTCTTCTTGTTTAATTATTCTCATCGTTGACTACACTGATCGTTATAAATATATTTTAGAATCAAAGGATTTAAAGTTAAGAGTCGGGAGCAACTATTACTTTGTGACTTCAAGGTTTCTTAAATCAGCTTTTAAAAACAATATAACCTAATGTCAGCATTAAGAAAAAGCTGAATCGTGCCAACACAATAAGACACATGCTGTCTCGTTTCTTATAAATAATACATTATGTACTAGTATTATATAAAGTGAACTCGTGTGAAATAACAAACGTTTGGTGGAATGCTGCCAAGTACAGACTGATCACGTTGTCTGCCAATTTAGTATTTTACTTGTCTCGAATAATTATTCGAAATGGTTCGAGTCGTTTCTAGTGCTAAGTTATGCACCTCACTGCAGCATACTTATAGCTATGACTGTTTAATGTAAAGAGTAATTAAGAAGCACTTTTAATAAAAATTAAACTGTTTAACATGTATCAAGGTAAGGTATGCAGACGAGCTCTAATTAAAGCGTCTCAACTGATTTTCCATTTAAGTTTACAACAAATTTAATATTACGGAAGCAAGATTGAACTTGTCGATCCTAAATACGTATCAGGAAATATCATGACAGCTGTAGTACTTAAGCTGTTGACTAATTCCATCTACCTTTCTCTTAACACATTCCATTATTCTGCTTAAATGCTCAGTTTTACCTCCAATTTATCACAACTTACTTTTCAGCCCAAATCTAGTTGTCATCAGTGAAAGAAAATAAATGCAATAAAATAAAAATGTTTTATTACTTTTTAACATTTTAAATGTTTTCTTAGTTACAATATTTGTTTCAGATTACTTCTAAAAGTTAAAAACTATTTTATCTAATTAATATTATATTACACATAAGTATATAAGCCTAAAATCAGTTGGAAAAATAATATGGTAAATAGTAGAGAAGAAAAAAGGAAAAAAAAAAGCTTTACTTAGTAAATTCTTGCAAGACTTAAAAAAATGGCTAAGTTGGCAATAGTTTATTTTACTGCAAAATTATGAAATATTTCTAAAAAAAAATACTGTTAATTTTGCTGTTCAAAGCATAAGCTTGTACATTGTCTTGCCGGGAGAGAATTGATCGAGTCCCTAGCAGCAGGAACTAAAAGCAAACTTTTTATTAATGTGAGAATAAAAAATGTTTTAAGCCTACTGCTAACAGGTACGGTATTACAAGACAAATAACTGTAACTCTGGATTTTGCCTGTGTTTATACAAATCGTTGCCTTTTCTAGTATGAAAATTATAACTCCTTGTAAAAGTATTTTAAAGTTAGTTTAAGAAATAATTGTTAATAGAAATAACATATAACATATTACTTGTATGGACCTGCCATAACTGTTGTTCAAGAAACAAAATTTTAAAGCATCTTATAGGTCATTATCACAAAGGTAAACAATAATCTTGAATATTTAAATGCTTATTTCCTCCATTAGAGAATTTAGAAATATACAGCTTATTTTAATTTTATTCTGCATTTTTCTCGTATACACAATTTTTTCTCAGAATGAATCTAGAAGATTATTCTTGTGAAATAATTTTACAGCATTTTAGAATATATAGCACATTTAAATGATACAAGTTGATACTAGTTTTTTTCTTATTTTTCCGACTAATATTTAGAAAATCGGTCAACTATTTCATTAATACTTACAATTAAAATATTTATTTTTCAAAGATCATGAAAAATATGTAAAATCACAGTTTTTTCTTATCATATACTAATTTTAATGTTAGTCATTGTATCACGTAATTGTTAAAATACTTAAATGTAATTAATTTATTAATAATCGTATTAAAACTTCATTTCACTTTTAATCAACATCACGCTTATAATTCAGACAAGAAGGCAGTCATTACGATTTTCTTTTGGCACGGTTCAGTTAAGACATTCATCGCTTTTTCTAAATCCGTACATAATCACAATTATTCTTGTCGGTTAGATACAGGCATTCAAATACATCGGTCTTCCTGAGTATACCAATAACTACAATTGCTATGCAATTTTTTAAGTTACGTTTTCACAATTATTCAATTGTTTTTGACTAACTAGTATAGACGTTCCTACTTTGATATGACTTTTAAAACAAGATTGCTTGCACTGATTTGCATTTCATTCATACTTCATCAAATTCGGAATGATTTCACTAATCTACTAAGTTTTTAAATGGTTAAATAGATATTTACAATATTTACACAGATTCATTCCTTTATTTTGGCGGATTGGAATTAATTCTGATATCCTCTTTCATCACAAATAGTGAAGGTCCCATTGCACGGCGAAGAGCTGTCGAAGGCAGGTCTGTAAATGTAAAATAATCAAGTCATTAATCATTCTTGTAACACAAAACTTGTATTAGCTTGTACTTAGGGTTAGTATAAGGAAATTATGAATATGTATTCTATTTTGTATTACTTATATTGAAGACTGCGTACGAAAATCTTATATATAATCGTAATTTATATTATCGGTCACGGCATGCATAAAAATCCTGCAAAATTTACTAGCGCAGAGGCTCTGGTTAGATAAATTGCTATTTTATTTTAACAAGAATGGAGAATATGAACTTCCCTGTTTAAATTTAATGTATTAAAAAAATTACACCTAAGAAGTACTTAAAACTTGGTAAAAGACATTGAAAAATATTAATTGTGAAAACAATAGAGGAATTTGTGGGAGTTTAATGAAATTACTTTTTGTTTTCTTTGGTCCGCGTCGTTTCTGGCAGCAAAAGAACAATGCCACCGCCAACTGCACTCAAGGCTGCTATCGTCACCATCGGCAAATGTTTGTTCAAAGCGGTCTGTAACAAAATAAAAATACTTTTGTACTTATCTCTACTGATTCAAATTTAGTTTATATTCAAAGATTAAACGTAAAATCTGCCCTAAGTCCATAATTAACATCAAAATCTGCTAATTAGACTTTAGAATATTGCAAATGGGAAATTAGTTACTTACCAATTCCCACAAATACGGGATACACATCAGTGCTAATCCTGCAGCTACTTGACTGACACCAACTCCGAGATTTCTTATCAAAGTCGGGTACAGCTCTGCCGTAAATATAGGCATCATCATATTTGAAGAGCCGATCGCGAACTTCCCAACCATCAAGCAAGCAATCATGATCCAATCATCTTCAAAGGAGATTGAGAATAACTCACTTGCGACACAAGCCATTCCACACATGAACATACTTATGAAAATTGGTATCTTTCTCCCGGCTTTTAACAATATCGGAATGCTAACAGCGATCGCTGGTATTTCTACAATAGCAAGGATTATAGAAGTAACATGAAGATTGCCCAAGTTAAAGTTTCCGATGTTCAACAAAAGTCCGTAGTATGCTATGGTCATAGAAAACCAAGCGATGAACAAACAAAAGGTATGCTTTAATAGATATCCTTTGAAAAGCATCACAATACTTGGTTGCTCGGCTTCAGTCTCGGGTTTGCTCAACAATAACATTTTGTCTATGTCGTCGGGTATCGCACGGTTGTTAAATTTAGCTGCTTTAACAATAATTTCCTTTGCTTCTTGAATACGTCCCCTGCCAATTAACCATCTTGGTGATTCAGGTAAAACGAACCTGTAATGAGAGAAAAACTTTGTTTAATAATGATAATCGATAATATTTCCCAATGAAATGCCTTAGAAATAGAAATGTTAAATTCGATTTACGCAATTATTTCTAGCTTTGACTAATAAGGAATTGACCACATTGATGACGTTTTTAAAACAGTTTTATTTTTAGTTACCTTCCATTGTACTTAAATTAAACTTAAATATACTATATTTACCATAGTAATAGCAGGAAGCATCCCGGTAGTGAGAGTGACAGTTGTAAATCTCTCCAATTCGGTAGCAGTAATGAGAGGAGAGACACGATGACGTAAGCCAGTGGCAGAGGGAAGAAATTGCAGACGCCGGCAATTGTCACCCAGTTGCCGCTCACCAATTCAACGGAGAGCACGAATGCTGCATACACCACTGATACGGATACAAGACCCATGATGAGACGCACCGCAACGTACTGGATGTAAGAACGAACCAGTAACGATATTATAGCAAGCACACACTGACAGATCATCATACCCATCAAGATGCGTTTTCGCCCGAATCTGAAAATACAAAAAAATAATAATTTGTGTATAAATATATTAAAAGGTTAAGTTATTTACGGGAGAGTAAAAATGTAGATTCAATTCGTTAATTAGCAATTAATTTATAGAACACTTGTAATTTATTTGTGTTCTTCAATACGAATTATTTATTTAACCGATAGTAACTATCTCTTAAAGTTCAAATTAATCAAACAGTATTGATTACAAAGTAGCATATTATTCAGTCCTTCAAATCCACTTCACTATTTACATGTGTCTCAAATAGTTATACAAGCAATTAGAATGCCACAAACATATATTTCTTTACAATTGTAAAACATATTTATCGAATACGGATTTGGTTAAACTGACAATCTTTGTTAGTCTGTTTGATATGGGCTGGGAAAACCTAATTCACAATCGGTCTGGAAAATTCCATATGTTTTATGTAATTTATTTGTTAGGCTGTGGTTTCATAAATTTGTAAGTGCCTTACTTGTCAGAAATCCAACCGCCCACGACGCCACCGATTCCGACACCGATAAGGAACACAACTTCAGCGAGATTTGTCAATCCTGCATTGTCACATACTAGATTCCATTCTGATATAATCGTTTCACCAACTTCTGATCGATCGTAGTCCCATTGCTGACATTTGAGGAACGAATCGAGGACAGGTGCTGTATTATTTAGTATACTTTCGACAGTAATTCCATTCGGTAATTCACGGACATAGCACGCGTCTACTGGTTGACTGTAATTAATCCAGTTCTCTATTGGCAGACCAGCTAAACTCTCCGGTAATCTACACCAGAACTTCGTAGATTTAGCCTGGAAAATAAAATAAACATTTAAGGAAATGACCAAAAAGTCACACAATGAGACTACGTATGTGTTGCCTAATAATATAGTGTAAATAAGAAAAATACACTGAAAATTTGTTTAGCACAAATTATTACAGGTAAAAATTGGCAGTTGTACCAACATGGTATGATTCGTTGCTATCTTTCCATTACTTATAACTTTGTGGCACTTAGATTTTTGCATTTCTATTAGTTAACAACGATCTGTTTGGCAGTTTTACATTAAGTACTTTCAAATCGTCCATCCGTCATATGCCAAGTTTAAAATGTAAAAAATATATTTTGCTAATACTTTTTCTCTAATTTACAATTTGATTTCATAACCAACAAAAAGATATTAAAGATGCTTGGGAGACTATTCTATGCACGTTTTCATTTATTAAAGTTAGGTATTTTTAAAAGTATAATAACCACCTTAAAGTTTAAAACTTACCGTGAATGTAGGTAAATATATGTGGAATGTGCAAGGGAAGGAGAACATCGCTAGGAGAAAAGTCATCAGTAGCTGCCATCGTCCGTAGTTGCCAATGACTGTAGATACAACATCTTCCGGTTCAGGTCCGGCTGCAACTGATTTCTCTTTGTTCTTTTGACTTGGGATTACTGAAACAAAGAAAAATAGTTTTTGAAATATATTTTATAATTTCATATTTACGAAGAAGGAAGTAAGTAATGACTAATACATGGATCTTATAGACGAAAATACGGAGTTCCATCCCACATTAAATGGAAAAGGGCGAAGAATTTTTAATATATTTAAATAATACATCTTTTATTGAAGGCTAATGTAGTATGTGATAATTATTCTTATTGCTATTTGTTCAAGCGAAAAAGAATCGTTTTATTACAGTATGCATTAGCTTGTTAAATGTCAAAAAGCGCGCCTTTATAAAATGTCATGAAATTATTGATAAATATTTATCAATTTTAAAAGTACACTTTACTTGTATTGACACAATTTTTCCCAATGCGAAATTTTCAAATACAAAGAAGGAAAATGATAAAGCAAAGATAAGTGTATTTGATTATTTAATATTGTAAGCTGGATAACGTTTTATTGCGGTAATATAGCCTCTTTATTCTTTCATATCGGATAAGATGTTACTTATCTGTTTGTTAATGCACATAACTCGCATCATTTATATTCTAATTTATTTTTAGAAGATTATTTTCTTTACAATTATATTATTAGTGTGTGTGTTTTGATATAACATAATCTTGTTGATATTTATTTTTTTTATCTTATAATAAAACACAAAATATTGTGTGTAAAGTTTTATTGTGTTTCTGTTATGAGCAATTTTTTTATTAAGCATATAATCATAAATGATGATTTTTTCCTGAAGGAAAAAGCCTTTTATTTGAAACTTATTGTTTTACACAATTTTCCGCTTAAGTTACACCACGGTAGAAATGAACTGACACTTGTTTGAGAAATTCTACAGTTCATAATAAATAAAAGAAGTATCTTAGTTGAAATAAATAAAACGTATTTCATTCTTTTTAGCTCATATTCTTGTTACGTTCGTTTTTAATGTCAAGGTTAAAAGTTTTTATTTTTTCATTTCATTCAGACCACAACTTTGGTGCAACGAAGCCAAGTTTATTTTATAACCATAGATTATTTGTATTTTTTATATTATAACATAATGCAAACAGGTTACTAAAACAAGACAACAATGCAGTCGTACTAAGAATTTCGAAATATGTTTTCTGGCGCAATAGGTTTTTAGTGTTGCCCTTGACACGTTACTCTTATCATTTTATGTCGCAGAACTTTTAGCCCTTTAAAACTGAGACTAAAAGTGTGGGAAGTATACAATACAGGCCATTTACAAAAAGGATCATTTTAGAAGCCATAAAATCATAAAACGATGTTTTTGATGTTCTCTTTTTAAATTAACAGTATATATTTTCTTTTACAAACGGTAAAGAGCCAAATACAGGGTGCATTGTCAACTGTTTGCGTATGTAATTTCATTTAATACTATGAAACAAAAGCCAATTGTTTCTTACATTCGTTGCGTGCACATTTTCATTATTGTTAATAACCAATTTATGGTTATGTCGAATGAAAATTCTATTGAAAAAGTGTACATTAGTTGGGAAAGATAAATGTTTTTTATTCACAGATAAATAAAACAAGATAGCTATTGCTATAATTACTATACGTAAAAATTGCCATTGTCATTATCAGAAATTATGCGCATATCGTTGTTGTGACAGCAAATAATATAAAGATTTGGATTTAATTATCATGCTCTTAATCTCTATCAGCTTTATCAATTTTTTCGTACATTTTTCCTGTTACACATAGTACGAGAAAATAATTAACGATACTAAAAGTATATTGAAAATATTAGAATAATCGTTTGGTTTTTAAATTATGTTTGTTTAAGAAAACTAGGAATTCCGTTTTATAGCTTAGAATGTAATGTTAATCTTAGTGCGATTAACTACGTAATTAAATATACATACGAATGTTATTAAATAAATTGTTTGCTCTCATTAAGGGTCAGTGTTATATGAATGTTAGTTGTTGGGTTCAAATGAGTTAAAGGTCGTTGTTGATCTTGACCCACTTCTTGAATACGTAATTTTCTCATGTGTGAATTAAATTTCTAGTAATACCCTTGTAATTCAAGAAATATTTTACTATAGTAAAACTAACCAAATAGTGTTTTGAGCACGGTTTTTGATATTATTTATTTTTTATTTTTACATACAGCTTTTCAAATTTTATAGTTGACAGTATTATTGATACTTTTCATTTCTTTAAAATTAGAATGTAGCATTTATGTTGCTGTTTTAGATAAAATCTAATCTTAAGTGTGTATAATATCTTTTATCAGTTTTAATATATTTATATTGAGACCGGATTATTGGGATATATTCGTAGTATATTTTGGTAGCGTTTATTACCGAGGTCGGTTCCGCAAACTTTTTGATTCATAATTTTATTGATGCAGTCTAACAGAACTCGTTTATATTTTGTGACAATGTAACCCGTCGTCTACTAATATATATATACTATTAATAATAGTAGAAGACTACTATGTATTATTACATTTACATTCTGTTATAGTTGCACACTTCGTACGCCTAACAATTATTAGGTTTGTCGTGGCGCGGCGACGCCTTGACAATGATCTTCTATGCAACGTTAATAACCTATGGTCAAGGCTCTTTTGTTTGTTTTTGTTTTATTAACTTGCAGATGTTTGTGGATGCATTTTACAGATAAGAATTATATATCTTACTTCTAACTAATATTGAAAATGCGAATGTTTGGATGGATGTTTGTTTGAAGGTATCTCCTGAACGGTTGCCTGGATGTCGCTGAAATTAGGAATAGATGTAGAACATAGTCTGGAAGTTCACATAGGCTACTAATTAAGATATTTTTAATTCCGTGCAGACGGAGTCGTTGGCGACAACTAGTAGTATATAAAATACGTTATTATACACACAGCATTGCAAATTAAAGCTAAAGCTTTTTATTAACATTGTTAAAAAAGAAACAAAACAAACTCAATGGAATGTAACAACGTAATGCCAGGCTGGATGCTACGTTACGAATTTCTAGAATTATTTAGTCAGTTCGGAAACAGAGGTTGAAACATTCTATCCAATCTCACTTCACTTTGTATAACTTCATTGTTAGTAATATTATCTAGCAAATGTCAAAGCATCATACAATACTGGCATTTATGACAGTAGCAAGTACTGTTGTGTTCGTATCATTCGTGGTATAAACAAGTGCAATGGGCATTAAAACATTATTCTTCATCTTGCGGACAGCGTGTTACAATAAGGGTCAAGGTCGCTTGCATATTGATTACACTAATACAATACAATTTGTGCAATTTCATTTCTGATTTCACTTTAATTTTTACGCGATTTTCACAAAAATGTGACTGAGTTCTTTATGACTAGAGAACAAAATTTCCCTTATGTATTTCATTTACACAATACTAGCTGAAAGAATGCGTTGCATGCCAAAGCAAAAAAAAACATATATAAGAGTGTCCTTTACACTTTAAAATCTTTATTTGAACTTAATATAATGTAAACATTTTGCGTTGATTATGATTTATGAATTAAAAGAGATTTCTCGTAAGAAATGTGGGCGTTTTTGCGTCTTACGGTTACTTAAGTTTCTTAGCATCGTGAGTGCGATTCATAACTCATTGATACGTTGTCGTTTGTGCGTTCGTTTGTGTTATTGAATGAATACATAATCACTTATATGAAATAAACTGACTATTGCAACGTTCACACATTCATATTTATACGTCAATCTGACAACTAGTGTAGTCATCGAATTAAGTATCATTCGGGCATTTATCATTACTTAATATTTGAGTATAGTTTCTCACACATAAATAAAATAATTCCTCGGTTGATTTCTTTTACGGAAATGAATCTAGTTACTTTTTGAATGGTAGATAAAATTGCTTTGCCACATAATATTACAAATTTATAAAATTGATAATATTATGTTGCCTTTTACATGTATATCACATTTCTGAACAATCGACATTGACCGACTTTCAAATCTTAGATTGATTTTCTACAGTAATATTAATAAATAAATGCAATAGTAAGTAAGAAGTTTTGTTTATTTTGTACGTAGAAAACAACTGGCCTTTAATAAGTTGATACTTGATCTTGTTAAATAAGAAAACATATTCCTTAACCACATTTTCATGATGTTTCTTTGTTTTCAACACAAACAATACGCTGTTAAAGTTTGGGATCATAGTTATTACACTCCTTGAGTACCAAAGTTAATAAAACGGTAATGTATGAAAAAATTATAGAGATTTTATGCGTATTACATACCAAGTAAATAACAATATTTGGATTTTACTGGTGTTACAAACCAAAGAATCTAATCACATTTTACTATTAATTTACTTGTACAGAATCTATAAATTGAAGAAATTAGGATAAACAAAAAATATATGCAACCAAATTAGCATTTCTTAGCGGTGTCTTGCCATAAAAAAAACAATTAAAGCACCTACAACGCATCGATAGGTCGATTTCCTATTGCCCTATAAAAAATATGGTCCCGATTCGTCATCGTTCTGCATGACATCATTTTATACATAAATGTTAACATCGTATCCAGTGACCCGACAAATTAGATTTTACGTCGTCCACAGGAGAACTTAGCTTTGTAAACACGTTGATGAATCCTAGACACATGATATCCATATAATTGTAGACGTGCAACTCTTCAATGCGTTTCCACAGCTTAAAGATAATTACAAAATCATATTTTGAAACTGAAATAAATATATTCAAAATGCATCTGTTATTTATGTATTATATAATATGTTTATTACCTATTATGCTGAGCTCTAGGAATAGTAAATATTTGACCTCTTTCTAAATTTTTTATCAAAATAAATGGAACCTAAAGAAGCCTACAGTCTAAATTAAATTCATTTTGCTATCAAAATAAACGAGTAGTTTCCGTATGATAGTAGGTCAGTATTTTTATTGTTATCAGTCAAATATGTTCTACAATTATGTATTACAATCTCCATACTTTAATAACGCTTTATGTATTTGACTGAGAAATAGTACTAACT